TTGAAGCCTCTGCTTCAGCATTTGCCGAGCTTCCAAAGGAGATTACTCTCCGTCGTCCATCAAATGTGGAGAACTAAGGAGCTCCGAATCGGGCTACAGAGGTTGCCTGGCATTTCAGCTCTATATTTTATTTTTCCAATTGGTTAATCTTTTTTCAGGCATCTTGAAACATGCTGCGAAAAAGAGAAAGTTGTGCTTTCATCCGTTGCACCTCATTTGTCCTGCTATACAGCTAGCAGGACACATTAGAGACCACAGTTATGGTCTCTACACAAGATTTTAATGTATAAGAGTTGGCATCGTTTTTAGAATGCGCTGCCATCAATTGCTCTACTGACAGCGCAGGAAAACTAAAAACATGAGCAGAGACAGGGGCACTCTGTTGAGACTGAGAGGAGTTGGTGTCATCAATCTTTATTGGGGAGTCATTAAGGTCTAGGAAAAGGAAAAGAGTATGGCAGGATGAGGCCATGACAGAGGAGAGTAATGCCAAAAAGGGAGAGTTTGTGAAGTGATTTTACAGTTGTTGTTTGTTTGCTTTGCCACTCCCTTACATCGTGTCCTTAAGAAAAGAAAGAAGAAGATGAAAGCGAAGAAGAAGAAGACAATGGAGGGATCGAGGCAATCATTGAAGATCAGGGTAGGTCTAGCTCTATTAGTCAGGCGCTACAATTGTTGAAATCACGCGCCAGACGTGACAATCGAAGAAGAAGATTGAAAAAGAGAAAAACAAGAACAAGGGAATAAGAGAGATATGTATATTCTGTATATATGTATATAATATGTATGTATATGTATACTGTATATGTATCTGTATGTCTGTATATGCGTATATGTATACTGTGTATGTATTAGTATTTCCGTATGTATCTGTATGTGTAACGACCCCGACCTCCGTATATTGTCCCTTCGTTAGACCCATGTGGTCCCTTTGTTATGCCTTCGGGCCCTTTGTCACACTATTGGATGTACTACATATGAATATGATTTGTGAACTTTGATACGACAAGTACTCAATTATGATTTGCTTTGAACTCATGTGCTATGGTTTTGTACAATGTTAGACATTATTCATTTAAACCTCTTTATACTGGTATTATTCAGTGGACTTTAGCTCGCCCCCTTCCCCTATATATGTAGGTGAGAAAATAGAGCATCAGGTTTAGAGCAACCCTGGAAGTCCACCATTTTGTCAGCCATTTTGGAGTGCCTCCGTGATGGGGCGATCTTGGACTTATTGGAGCCCAATTGTGTCAATGTTGTGGATCAAGTTACTTTGTTTAGTTTTCCTTGTTTTTGGAAGCTTGTTATGTATGGATAATTTGTACAAGTGTTAAGATGTTTTGGCGTACTATGTGTTTATATCTATGAAGAAGGGTTAAATTTTTTATCACTTGTGAAATTTGCACATACGCACTGCTCGAGATATATTTATATTTTAATATTGCTTCCGCTTATTATTATTATTATCTATCAGTTTTGTCTTTGAGGCCGAAGGTAATCTGGGATTACTGGCCGGTCACAGCCTAAACCTCTAGGAGCAGGTTTCGGTCGTGACAGTATGTATATGTATGTGTTCATATATGTATATAGCTTGTATGCTTGTATATATATGTGTATGTATATATTGTATAATTGTCCATATATATGTATTTGTATGTGTATATATATATATGTATGTGTATGAATATAGTTTGCATGTATATCTATGTGTTCGTATTTTGTTTGTACATGTAGTTGTATGTATGTATTTAATATGTGTATGTATGTGTTTACAAATGTATGTTGTATGTATAAAACAAAAAGGGAAAGAAGAAAAAAAAGGAGGAAAAAAGATGGAAAAAAAAATCAAAAGAGGAAAACCTGCAAAAAAAAAAAAAAAAATTGTCAAAAATACAAAAAATCAAAAAAATAAAAATAAAGGAAAAGAATAGGAAATGGGAAAAAAATATTTGTGCATCAATTTCATACAGTTGAAACCTTCCCCTTTCCATATGAAATACGGTTAGGTACATCTATTGGTTACCTCACCTTCTTTTCTTTCATGTGAAACATGTTAGGATTTGAAGTTTACTCGATCAAAACCTTCCTCCTTTCCATATGAAATATGGTTTAGGTACGTCAGTTGGTTACGCCATCTTTTCTTATTTCATGTGAAACGTGTTGGGATTTGACGTTTATCTAGTTAAAACCTTCCCTCTTTTCTGTATGAAATTCGGTTAGGTATGCCTGTTGGTTATACCACCTTTGCTCCTCTTGCCTGAAATGCATTTGGATTTGTTCATTCCTTCTCCTCTCACGTGAAACGCGTTTGGATTTCAAGTTCATTATTTTTCCTCTCACGTGAAACGTGTTTGGATATCAAGTCCACATTGCTCTTCTCGTATAAAATGCGTTTGGATTTGTTCACTCTTTCTCTTCTCAAGTGAATCGTGTTTGGATTTCGAGTTCACTATTTCTCCTCTCGCGTGAGACGCATTTAGATCTCAAAGTTCCTGCATCATTTGTGTTGTGGCATATTTATATACAATGCACCCCCTTTTATGCTTTATATCAGTTGCATGAGGCTTACCTCTCATGTTGCCATCTTCGTATCTTTATTATCATTCTATTGCATTACCTATATAATGAGAGCTCTAGTCTTGAGTTTAAGGAGGATAAATGAGAAGAAAAGTGTAGAGAGAATGCTAAATTTGAGTTAGAATTTAAGAGAAAAGAAAACCTCGAAAACAAGAGAGTTGTCTTACCAAAATAGTGAAGTTACCTAGCCTCTATGCATCTCATCTTCCCTTGCAAACACCACTCAAAACCCAAGTCCTAAAGTCTTGATCAAAGAGAGAGTAGTCTTGCTAAGTTGAAGGAGATTAAAGAGTCATTATACACTTGCTCCAAAACCATTGTTCTAGCTCAAATTCCAAACTCTTGAATTGAAGATTAAGAACATACTTCACAAACTTGAGGGTGATCAAGAAGACGTTTGGAAATTAAGAAGTTCACTCTTCCTTTGGAAGGTAAATTTTCAATTATTTCATTTCTATCTCATCTTTGTTTTCTTACTTTTGTTTCATATTGTTTTTTTGTAAAGTGATTAGGTTTTAATTCCTTCATTTTCTCACACTTTCTATCTTATATTTGTTTTCTTACTTTAGTTTCATATTAGTTTTATTGTAAGTTAACTGGAAGTGGTTTGAGCTACCTACATATTCGTTGTTTGTTCCTTTTTTAGGTGTTGCAACAAGACAAGTTTTGCTAGGCCTAGTTGGGCCGGCCAGTTAGCTTCTTTTGGACAAAATGGAGTAGTTTTTCGACATTGAGCATACTAGTTTCCGGCAATCCTCAAGACACATGAAGCTTCTGTTTTGTTTTTTTATTTTTGAGTATTTTGTGAGGTTTTTATTTTGTTGTAATATTTTCCTCCTCCCTCTCTCATTTGGTTTGTAATTATTTATTCAAGTGTTGTATAATTCTCCGCCCCGCTTCTTCTTATCATTTTGTTTTACTTGCTTTCCTTTGTGAATATGCATCACTTTTTATTATTATTATTATATCCGTGCTTTGCATCCATATTTCATGCATCCTGATTCAGTTAAGTTTGCATTTGTGGATTTAATTAATTCTTATGTGATTATGTGCACTACCTCATGTTCTTGAGATGATTCACATGTCATATCTTAGAAGCCGAATCTTTAGTTGCATCTCATGTGTAAATTGCATTAGGATTCTGTATAGAAGATCATGCATATTTCTCTAACTTTGTTTTGTAGTTGTTCGCGCGATGTTTATAAACATGTACATTTTTACACTTTAACATCCCGCGTGTGTGTGTGTGTGTTTTTTTTTTTCTTTACTATATTTAGTATTCTACCATGAGGTTACTTGCTTACATGATATAACTATATGAATGCCAGTGGATAGAGGTTGTATCGCTTAATTTGGGATGATATTGATTTTCATGTTTGTAAACTCAATTTATTTTGGTTGTACACACATGAAATTATGTTGTTCCAAAATAAATGGCATAGTCTATACTTGTATGCTTCACATAATAAATTGTAAGATTTGTTTAATAACCGGAATATAAACATATAAAGTCAATAAAACTCATATCATGGTTTAGTAAAGGCTGATCTTTGATCGGCTGAGTAAGGGTGCTCAATTAATGACCTTCCCCTCTCATACCTAAGATTCCGACCCAAGCATTTTTGGTTATGACGAACAGTGGCTTTGGCATGAGTCACGGGTTTCCTAATTTTCCTAAAATATTAGGTGGCGACTCTAAAATCTGGTAATGCAGTCCATTTTTTTGGAAAAATTTTGTAATAAAACAAATTTTCTATAAAAGTTGCCAAATTTGGACTATTATTTATGTTTCACATTGCACTCATGGAGGTTATAGCGATCCCAGTTTCCCCTCTTCTTTAACTGTTGTATCCGGACTTAGGTTCCGTGGAGTTGGTTGTCGTGTATATCTTGTTTACATCCTTTACTCCTTGCATTCGAGTCTTGGGTTGTGTTGGGCGAGTTTGAAACAGGTTGGTTGGACTTAGAAACCAAGAGTAGTGTGGCTCACCCTATATGGGAACATCATTTTCAGGTACAGGTAGCATGTCACCTCTGAGAACATTTCGGGAGGCTAGGGGCAAACATACTTTTGTTGCCGTATTTTCCTTTTGATGTATTACATGTAAAATTCAAGCCAAGGGCTTAATGTGTAACCGAGTCAATACTCTCTTTTGTAACCAAGTGTTAACTTGGAAAGCTGTAAGCCCGTAGGGCATTTATTTTTTTTGTTAATATGTAATACTTTTGTAATAAAGTACTCTGATGAATTGAGGAAATGTAGATCTTTTGTATATAAAGGTATGTTTATATTGATGGGCTTAATGTTATTTTTTTTTTAGGGCGTTACACATGAGACTAGATCAAAGAAGTCGAGGGTCTGAACTGTTTAACACACACAGGTACTCCCCGAGCATGTTACAGCTGGCAACAATCTCAACATGATAAACGACTTCAAAGCATCTATGATTCACGAGTTTGAAATGACAGATATCGGGCTTATGGCATATTATCTTGGCATTGAAGTCAAACAAAGTCATGAAATCTTGGCAAAGTTTGGAATGGAGAATAGTCATCCCATTAACACTCTAATCAAAGGTGGAAGTAAGCTATCCAAATATGATGAAGGTGAAAATATTGATCCAATTTATTTCAAAAGTTTAGTTAGAAGCCTTCGCTATCTCACAGCTACACACCCAGATATTTTATATGAAGTTGATCTAATCAGTCGCTTCATGGAAGAGCCCAAGACAACTCATCTGAAAAAAGCCGAGAGAATTCTTCGTTACTTGAAAGGAACACTAGAACATGGATTATTTTATCCATCTACAAATAACCATAGCCTTATTGGATACAATGACTGTGATTGGACTGGTGATGTAGATGATCAGAAAAGTACCACAGGTTTTGCTTTCTTTCTAGAAGAGATAACATGCACCTGTCGTCAAAAAAACAATCCATTGTGACTTTATCAACATGTGAAGCTGAGTACGTTAACTCAGCAGTAAGAAATGTATTGAAGCATTTGGGTGTTGAACAAGAACAACCCACAGAGATTCATGTTGATAATCAATTAGCAATAGCACTAGCAAATAATCTAGTGTTCCACGAATGAAGCAGACACATTGATACACGTTATCATTTCATCCGGAAGCAGGTGAAGAATAAAGAAGTGGAATTAATCCCTTGTAAGCCTCAAACCCAAATAGCAGATATCTTCACAAAGCCGTTAACAAATGAAGTGTTCAAAAGACTAAAGATACTACTTGAAATAAAGAAACTCAACGAATTGTGTTTGGGGGGGGTGTTGAAAATCAAACCCCAATTCATAAACCAGGAGTTACTAGAATGATCAAGAATGATGAAGAAGCATGAAGAAGAAAGAATGAGAAGCTTCATGAAATCCCTCCATTGTTGATTGTCAAAAGCTTCACCATGAAGCAAAGAAGAAAAACGTGGGAATTGAGCTGGTTACCGCTCACCACCATCAGGTATTCACACCTAAGGATTTGTCTATAAATAGATTACATTAGTTGTTGTATTTAATCAATTCAATTTGTAAAAGAGATACTACATGTATCCAAATTCATTTCAGAAATAAAAAAACAAGAGTGTTTGTCCGTAAATTAAATTCTCAAAAAATACATTGGGATCCCATTCTCATATCCCATCAAGTGGTACTCTATCAACTTCAGGAGTTTGATGGAAATCGAAAAATTGTTTAGCCTGGAAAACCCAACTCGCCAGATCCTCGATTCCATTGAAACGTGGAAAATCAAGCTTCAACGTCTTGGGCAAATATTGAGGAGCAGAGTTTCTATGTACTTCATGGTTGGTTCCTCCACTTCCAAGGGTTCGTCCTCCAACACTTTGATTTTGGTTGTGAAAACTTTCTTCAGGGTCACGAACTTGGTTGGTTGTGATGTCGTCCAACTTGGTATTCATGGCTGCAAACATCTCTTGAATCTTTTTCATCGTTCTTTCCGGCCCAGTTGCTAAAGAGTTGACATCAGTCTCCAATTTCCCCAATCATTGCTCCTCTATGCCTAGTTTTGATACCAAACTATTATGTACATCTGTAGCAAAGCTGGTGTTTTTGTTCTTTTGTTTACCTATTTTTGCTAGGAAGGGAAAACAGAGAAAAATAGAGTTGTTTGAAGAGAGTTAGGAACAAGGAAATCAAAAATGGGTTTGCTTCAAGGGAAATCAATCCTCTAATATCACACAAGTATAAAATAAAATTCTGGATGTTTATTTCAAACTATAATCAGTACAATAAATAGGAATAAAATGAACCACTCTGCTAAAGTTTTTTTTTGGGGGGGGTGAATAAGTCATAAAATAAAACAAAGAATTTACACGAATACAAGGGGCATACCCCAGGCCCTAGCAAACTAAACAAGGACAGAGCTAGCTAAACTAACAAATAAAACAAAATAGGAAACCCACACAGCCTATTCACCAACCACATCAACACCTGCGATAGGGGAGAAGAACAAGAGAGGGCCCAAACAAACAACTAATCATCACAATCGTGTGCCTGCAAAACGACCCTGCCTAGGAAAGATTTGGATGCTCCACCACAGCAGAGAAATGTCAACATAACCAAGAGCCTAAATAGCCTATAAAAATGAATATGCATAGTATCCAAGCCAAAATACCAACTCCCTACACATCTAGTAGGGTTAGGCCAACGAACCAACAGCAACCTATACATATAGTAAGCCATAAGACAATAATGTACTATTACAATATTAAAGGAAATAAAACAAACTTTCTCCATCGGACAAATCTCACAATGACTGGCGCAATAGTGCAGCCTAGTCGGAGACTCTCCATCAAACCCTGATGCCTCAATCTGGATAATAAAGGAATTTCATCCAACCAGCTGATCATCCCAACAATTATTAGTAGAACCTGAAAATAACAGTAGTACCCATATGAAATGAGATTCAAACAACCCTCATAACACTGTAAAAAACAAATCTCACAATATAGGGAAGCTAAATCACTCAACCCACAACTTGCACACAACTCAATAAAAAAATAATAGTGTTAGGGCAGTGGTAAACCACAACAACATGTGAGAGGACAAGAAAAGAGTTAAAACAACAATATATTGCTCACTCCACTCAACCCACAAAACTTCCCTAACAACCCCCAAACCAGCTTATAACCCATCATGCAAAAGAACAAAATACAGACATTAGCTCTTAATATATTGCTACCATTATTTAACCCACATATGGTGAACTCACATGCCTTATTGAAAACCTGCCACGTCTCATACCTGCAAAATGAAAGACTCATTAGGAAACAATAGAAAATCCCTCACTATAGAGCCTGGCCTCACTCAACCCTCAGTGTTATGCTCACAGTCACTTAACCCACTCATGGTGCCACTCCTCTCAATTTTAAGGATGGTTGAAGGCAACCTCCATTCTTGCAAGAACCATATATCAGTTGGGGATTTCTTAATGTTGCTGAGAGCAAGGGCTCTATGTCTAACCATACATATAATATTATTCAAAAGGATCTTTTCAGGTTTCCTTTCATTACTGAAAATTCTATTATACCTCTCCAACCAAACTTGGTACACTATGCAACTGAAAGCAAGCCTTTTGATAATAATGGCAAGGGATTTACCCCTACAATCATTGGCTACCACCTCCACAAGGCCCAGCCAATTGGTACTATATCAATTAGTGTTACATTTGGAAAGCATAGTAGCCCAAATAGTGGATGAGAAAGCACACTTGAAGAACAAATGATCATGATCCTTCCCAATAACCCCATATAGAGGGCAAACAGGGTTAGGGTTAATACCAAAGTTAGCAAGCCTATCTCCAATATTTAACCTACCCAGGATAACCATCCAGACAATGAACCCCATCCTTGGTATAGAGTAGGGACTCCACACCAGATTAGCCCAACTAACCTTAGGCCATTTCATTCTCCAAGAATTCCAGACAAAACCCATAATAAAATTACCATCATTATGGAGGAGCCAGATAGGTTTATCATGACAACCAGAAAGCACAAAATCAAAAGGTGTATGGGCAATAATCTCCCTAACCTCCCAAGAAGAAGCATTTGGCCAGGTCCAACCATTAACCCCTAGCATAGAGGACACTTTAGATTGAGCATTTAAAGTAGTATCATACATCAATCTGTTGCCATACATAGACCACAAGGAACCAAACCCACTATCTTGCTAAACTAGGAACAACCTAATAGAAATCTGATAAACATGAATATGAAATTTAAATTCTCCTAATGTGAAGTAAAGACTTATTCAACTAATTTATTGCAACTATAGTCTTGTTCCAATGGAAACATAACACACAGGTTGAATGTTAGTAATATTATATATAGAGAATCTAGTTACTTTAGTCAACTGTGTTCCTTGAATAGAGATTACGGTCCTCTATTTGGTAAGTGACGTTTTTAGTAAGAAAAATTAAAAAGTCATTATAAAATATCACGTCACTCTTTTTATTTTTGCACATCTTTTTAAATTTTTTTAAATCCAATTGATAGAGATTAATTATATTAAACTAAACGATGGCATATCTACAAATCTAACAATCAATTCAAAGAAATCACACCTAACTTGTGAGGCCCTTGATCTTTGCAATATGTTCTTTAACCCTTACTTTTAAATTATTTCTTTGTAGTCCCTCAATTTCTTAATTAATTTCAATTTTAACCCTAGAATCAAAAACATGCGCCAACCAGAAACGCGCAATCCCTAAATTGAACCCGGGAACTCACGAACCATTTCTAAAACCCTAATAATAATTAAAATAATTTTCTAAGTATATTTTCCATGTAGAAACCCGAGGTTTCCAGTTCTCAGTACAATTCGCTATTTAATTCAAAACAAAGAAATTTTAACCGAATTAAAATTCCAAACCTTAAATAAATTAAATACTACACTTAATTAAATATTCAAATTCATAAATTAAAGATAAAGCCCTCACATTTTAATCAAATTACAAATTGACCCCAAGTGAGTACCATTACATACATATACATATATATATATATATACATATACTTGTACCTTTCTTAAATAAATAACTTTGTACACAAAATATCTTCAAATTGTACACAAAAAAATTAAAAGAAATTCCCTCAAATCTACTCCCCAAGGCTGGCTATGCTAGGTATATATATACATAGGTGATGTCATTTTGGGGACAAATTGCTTGATTTAGGGAAGAAAATTTGACCTAGGGTACAAATAAGATTATATACATATATATATTGTACTTATAACAAATTCAACTTTGATTAAACCTAAGCCTAACTAGAACATGTTTAAAGGTGTAATTAAGGCTTTAATCGTCATATATTCCATTTCATCCTAACTAAATCCAAGACTATTCAATTGAATTGGAACTAAGGACATTTTGAACTTTTCACCATTCTTTTTTCTCTATAAATATACCAATTCTCTCCACACTTTTGAGCACAAAACATGCTCACACACATATTTGGATGAGAGAGAGAGGGAAAAAGAGAGAGCTTTGGTGGTAGAGGAGAGAAAAAGAGAAAGACCTTTATGAAAACTCTTCAACTAGGCAACAAGTAAGTCATAACACAACTCTCTCTTTTATTTTCCTTTTTCAAATACATGTTATTAGAGAGTTAAAATCATATTTTCAGATGTGTTGTAATGGTGTTCATGTGTTTAAAGTTGATGAATTGGGGATTGATCCTTCTTATACTCATATTTTCTCTTAATAGATGCAACTACCCATTTCTTGCCATATCTCGCATTATTTCCAAAGGAATACCATTACTCTAAAAATCTGAGTTATTGATACATTATTTAGTATATTAAATAAGTGAAAATTTTACCGTAGTTGGCCTCTTTTCTCACCAATATTCTTATTTTGAGTATTGTGCATGAAAAACCAATTTTACAGTCAACTTTCAAAAATTCTATAAAAACGTAGAAAAATCTCCTGGACCTCGGTTTTATGTCAAAAACTTCCTTAAAGATTTAGCTTTCAATTAAAATTGGTTTCATTGAAAAAGAGTGAGTAGTTTGTAAGAAAATCCGATTTTCGTAACGGTCGACGAGTCTGGACAGCGCTGGAGTGTTTC